TGGGTGTGTGTGTGTGTGTGTGTGTGTGTGTGTGTGTGTGTGTGTGTGTGTAAGGGTGGCTCGACCTTTCCACGGAGCATGGAAGGGCCTTGTTACTCCAAAGATGGAAAATTCATCCCATCGTTCTGAATCCTGATGCCGTGCCTGAAATTGTCCTTAGGGAGAGAAAGGACCTCAAGGCCCAGCCGGAAGAGATGGTATTCAGGGACCTGTGGGTCTACCAGGACCCGGGGGACCCCCTGGACCACCCGGAGAGGACGGGGACAAGGTGAGCTATTTTACGTCCGCATTTTGGTCGCAAACGTTTCCGAGCCGACTTGACGTTTGTCCTACCCGACCGACGGCTTCGTTTTCCAGGGAGAACTTGGAGAACCCGGCCAGAAAGGAAGCAAAGGCGACAAAGGCGAACACGTGAGTTCAGCTGATCTCTACCCTGATGTTTCATCGTCCGTTGTCGTCCAGTAACACGCCCCTTCAAATCAACAGGGTCCACCCGGCCCCACCGGACCCCAAGGACCCGTCGGAGCTCCCGGTCCCGCTGTGGGTGACTTACTTTTCGCGCGCCGGTCTTGTGTTCAAGTGGCAATTGACCTGTGGATCTGCTTCGGGCGTGCAGGGAGCAGATGGTGAGCCTGGTCCCCGAGGTCAGCAGGGTCTTTTTGGCCAGAAGGGAGATGAAGGATCCAGAGGCTTCCCCGGACCCCCGGGCCCAGTCGGGCTGCAGGTAAGGAAAAGTTGAAATCTGTTGAGGGAATTAACCCCCCCCACAGCAGCGTGATTGATTGACGCACCTTCCTCTCGCTTTCCGCAGGGCTTGCCCGGTCCACCTGGCGAAAAAGGGGAAACGGGCGATGTCGGTCAGATGGTAAGCCTTACACAAGACACCAACGTGCTCGACTGCGAAGCCACCCCGACGCTAACAAAACCCCGCAGGCTTAATGCCAACATGCAAAATTCAAAGATCAACTTCGTCACGACAAACCGGGGTGGGCAAAGCGACGGCCGATTCAGCAGGGGGTCGCTGGAATTTGAATTTGGAGGTTTTTCCGCATTGTTTCAACATGCGTTTTCTTTTAGGGTCCACCCGGTCCACCTGGGCCAAGAGGCCCCTCCGGACCCCCCGGCGCCGACGGCCCTCAGGGACCTCCCGGCGGTATCGGCAACCCCGGTGCTGTCGGCGAGAAAGTAAGCCTTTGGTCTTCTCTTGTCGTTCGCCTCCTTCGGCGCGTTTGCACTTTTTGTACATCTCCGAGAGTCGTTTCCTCTCCCGGGCATCGGACGAGCCCGCGCCTTGTGGTGACTGGCCGTCCCGCAGTTGCGCTCCGTTTGCCCAGATGGATTGTGGCAAACGACAAGTTCACGTCTGCGTTCTTGCTTTCCCCAGACGGGGGTGAGAATTGCCAACAAGCGAGCGCCGCGTGGCTCCAGTTTACTCGATTTAAGAGGGGCCTTAGTTGTGTGCAAACAGTTTGCGCGGCCACTCTGTCGGTACGACAAACAACTCGCATCTGTCGGCTGACGAACGCGCTCATTCATGTCGGTGGACGGCAAAAGGCGTACGGACGACGGCGTCGGCCGGAGACGCTTCTGCTCCAGAAAGCGGCCAAAGAAGCACAAGTTTGAAAGGATGATCGTGAGGACAAGAAGCTTCGCTGCCATTCCTGTGATGCGCTGTCAAAATGAGTTGGACAACTGCGCCGTAGCCATTGATTCTTCAAAGTCATCGTTGACAGCTTGCATGAAAGGGCTTTGTTTGTTTTTGTTTGTTTGTTGCGCCGTCCTCCGGTGCAACTCGCTCCCCCCAAATGCTGACGTTTACCCCACGGTTGAAAAGGGCCTTACCACCTCCAATGATGGCAAAACGGAGCCCTATTCCGTGTCGGAGGGGGTCCGTTAAAAAAATGCACTTCTCAAGGGCGAGTGGGAGGGGTTGACTTAGTAGCCAGAAAGAAGCTGGAAAAACGCTTCTCCCAGGCCCTGCGATGGCTCCATCTTTTCCCTCGCGGAATGACAAGACGGCGCTCTCACATCTCTCTTCGGGCTAACGACACTCCCCCTCCGAAATGGCACTTTGACGAGGCGGAACATCAGCATAATAACGGCGCCGAGTGGCTGTCAGTCATGCTGCCGCTTGGGCTGTCGTCGTCAGATGACAAGCAGTCAGGCCCAGAGGGGACGTCAAGCCGCAAGATGGGGTCTTCACTCCTAAAAATGGTTTCATTGTGCGGTGAACTAGTGGGTGCTGCCGCCAGAGTTGGCCTGATTCAATCTCTCCAGGAAACACTTTTTTTCTCTTTTTTTGTTCTACGCAACCGGCGACATCCTTCCTAAAATGTCTCTCGTCACCCGCCCGTCTTCTTGCTCTCTCTCCAGGGAGACGCTGGTGAGACTGGAGAGCCCGGTCTTCAGGGAGATGGCGGTCCACCGGTGAGTAACTCCCTCACTCACATCCACGGAAGGTTTTGGTCAGGGTGGATGAAGAGCGGCGTGCCTTTCGGCCACTTTCAGGCCCGAACATTCATTTGCGCTTGCATGATTCCAGGGACCCAGAGGAGAGCGAGGGGAGAAGGGAGAGTCCGGTCCGGCGGGTGCCGCCGGGCCACCAGGACCCAAGGGTCCCCCTGGAGATGACGGTCCCAAAGGAAGCCCTGTAAGTTGCCATCTGGACTCATCTCGTCACAGTTTGTGTCGAGAGGCGCTCTAAGGCGACTGCGTTGACTTTCAGGGTCCGAGCGGCTTCCCCGGGGACCCAGGTCCGCCCGGAGAGCCCGGTCCAGCTGTACGTACCACGTCTAAATCGTGACTGAGCAAATTCTGTACTTGTTGTTGGCTACCCAAGTCAAAGGCCGGACTGTGGTTGTGTCGCGCAGGGATTAGACGGCCCACCCGGTGACAAGGGAGATGACGGCGAGGCCGGTCAAGCTGTGAGTGTTTGGAAATCCCGCTTGGATTGTGATGCATTTTGCCCATTTCATTTGATGACGTTTGCAACTAGGGTTCCCCTGGTCCCACTGGAGAGTCCGGTCCCTCTGGGCCACCGGGAAAGCGAGTGAGTGTGCTGCTCCCGTGCCCTTTTTTTTTTTTTTGCCCGTCGCCCTCAAAGACAATAATGATGTCACGGTTTCCCCAACCAGGGGCCACCCGGAGTTACGGGACCTGAGGGAAGACAAGGGGAGAAGGGAACCAAGGTAAAAGAGAAAAGCGCTTCCACGTGCCCAATTCAAAACGACCAACATTACATTCGGCCCGAGCCCAAGCGAAAATCATTTGTGTGTGTCCACGCCAAAAGGGAGAGCCCGGCCTGGAAGGTCCTCAAGGAAAGACCGGACCTGTAGGACCTCAAGGATCGCCTGGCAAACCCGGTTCTGAAGGCCTGAGGGGAATCCCTGGCCCCGTTGTAAGTTTGAATATTGTGACCCCGCCCCCCCCCCCTAAATTCTGTGTTCTTGTGAGCTCAACATCGCTGCTTTGTTATTTGCGCCCAGGGGGAACAAGGTCTACCTGGTGCTCCTGGTCCAGATGGACCACCCGGGCCAATGGTCGGTTTGACTTTGACGCCAGCGTCTCGGTGTATTTTTTGTGAGCCGGCTACTAATCGCACCGTTATCTCCTACAAAACCGCAGGGTCCTCCGGGCTTACCCGGTTTGAAAGGAGACTCTGGTATCAAAGGAGAGAAGGTGAGGCCGCAAACGGCAACAGCAAAGCCGATCGATGTGTGTTATTGACCAGCTGTGCGCTCTCTCCGTAGGGCCACCCGGGTCTCATCGGTCTTATTGGACCTCCGGGCGAGCAGGGAGAAAAGGGCGACAGGGGTCTTCCCGGTCCGGCGGGAACCTCCGGCCCCAAAGGAGACAACGTGAGTGTACCAAAGGTCGTCGAGGAGGTCACGTCAGCTGTGAGCTGTCATCCCTCCGGCCTGTCCTACGTGTGCCTCGGGTTCCGGACCGGTCAAGAAGGGAGGCATCTGAAATGCCTCGTCCCGACCTCCTCGCCCCCCTTGCTCATTGCAATTGTGTCCTTTTGGCTTGAGTCCGTAGGTGAGGTTTGGCAATCACGCTACGGTCTCCTTTCTTCTCGTAGGGTATCGCCGGTCCTTCTGGTCCCCTCGGTCCGCTCGGCCCGCCCGGATTACCCGTAAGGCTCCGCCGTTGCTACGTTACCGAGTCTCGTTTGATGAAAGCCCGGTGACATTTTCAACTTTGTGTCGTCAGGGTCCTCCTGGTCCGAAAGGCGCTAAAGGCTCTTCTGTAAGTTGTCCGACCAACACGAGCGGACAAGAGTACTTTTGAAAATGCACCGCGCTCGAGGGTTGCTTCCATCGGTCCTTTTCAGGGTCAAACCGGACCAAAGGGAGAGACGGGTTCACCGGGAATCCCAGGACCTCCGGTAAGGCGCCAAGCATGACCTCAAAACGATTTCGCCAAGTATCTCAGTAGAGTAGCAAAGCGAGCGTCAGAAAGGAAGAAATGCAAATGTCAAAAGAAAAAAGGTGACACTTTGAACACCGGAGGAGGCGGACGAGGTCAAGATCTTTCCTGTGGTTGCCGCAGGGCCCCCCGGGCGACGTCATCCACCCGCTGCCCCTCCAGGCCTCCACCAAGGGCCGCTCGCGCAGAAACATCGACGCCAGCCAGATGATGGACGACGAGGCGGCGGACGCCAACTACAAGGACTACGACGACGGCATGGAGGAGATCTTCGGCTCGCTCAACTCGCTCAAGCTGGAGATCGAGCAGATGAAGCACCCGCTGGGCACCCAGGCCAACCCGGCCCGCACCTGCAAAGACTTGCAGCTGTGCCACCCGGACTTCCCCGACGGTTGGTATCCGCCGCGGCGCGAAATTCTCGCCCGGATTGTTCCTGATGTCACTCGCTTGGCCACGCCCCTCAAAGGCACACGCGCCACACTCCGGCTAATATTACAAGTCGGCTGGTCCCAACCGACAGTAATTAGACGGCCAAGGCGGGCAAATGCAATCGACC